TACAACAAACCAAAATCACTCACCACAATCTACACAATGGAACACCTTCACTTTCGATTTTGCGCAACACATATTCCCATATCGCCACACTATTTTTTCACACAAAATTCGATGATACACATTATTACCATCACATTCTCACCTGACTCCACTTCCTGACACCATAACATGTTCACCTCGTTTGTGAAGGGGGGCAGAAATTGAATTCCACACTCATCAAAAGATCGACGCTACCTTTGAGGACAACACATTTTATTCCTACTCACTAACATATACTATGATACAAAAAAACTAGCAAAATTAAACAGCGCCCTCTTACGGCGGGCAATGGATGGCGTAACATCCACAACTAGATGTTATAGCAGTTCATATACAAAATGTCAACCTTCTGCAACTAATAGCTTTTGAATTATGCAAGCTACATACGTATACATAGATATCATGAAAAAATCCCTTCTGAATCCATTTTACAATTTGTTTCAGAAAAATTTTGATATGGACACCACAAATTCCTTATATGGAATATTAAATTATACACATTTTTTGCTGCATTTGATTTAAACTTATTTCCTCAAAATTCATTAGAAATATATTGCTCTTTCAATTAATTCAGTTCTCACTTCATTGTAAGGCAAAAATACATAAAAACCTCAAAATATCTTCATTAAAAACTGAAAAATATAGAAAAACATCAAATACAAATAAAACAATTAAAAAATCAATTTTTTACGATTAAGATTAGAGTTTTTTTTATGCAAAAGCAAGCGATCTGGCCAGCAGGCAAGAAGGCAGATTTTTCAGTGCACAAAACTGAAAGTTTACTTTTGGTACCACTCGGCAGCAAAAAAACACTGAAGGTGCAGAAACTGACTTAAATCACTATTCTGCTAAGTTTCAAATGTAAAAACAAATATGGCTGCTATGGTAAAAAAAAAAAAAAAAAAAAAAAGGTTTAGCCACATTTAAAGACACATACTCACTCTGTTACTTGGTATATATATATATGCACACATATACTTTTGTTAGTACCAATTGAAACCAAATGGGGAGGTGCACAACTACATGTTATAGCAGTCCCATATACAAAATTTCAATGTTCTGAGGCTACTCGTTTTTGAGTTATGCAAGATAAATACATACGTACATACAAATGTACTTAAGACATCACGAAAAAAACGTTCCTGAATACATTTTAAATCCATTTTATAATCTGTTTGGGAAAAAAAAAAAAAGAGTTTTTTACTCTGCTGTTACGTACAGATGTCAAACAAAAGCATTATTAAATTGCATTTGGTAGCGGTCAAAATGGACATTTTATACGAAATATGATACTCAATTTTTCATGATAACAATACTTCCTTTACTTCATACAAGGAAATAAAAGAGTCCTTTATTCTGGCCATATATATCATGGCTCAGCAAAAAATTCTTCTGTATGGGTCCGTAATGGTCAAAATTAATATTTCTGTTGAAATATGACACCCACAGTTTTTCACAATTACAATAATTCTTTTTTGCTTCATACAAGGAAGTAATAAATTTGTTCATATTTTATGTCATATGTTTAAGTTACAGTTGTATTACAATTTAGTATAAAAATAAATATTCTATATTATATTTAGTCATAAATATATTGATCAAATTCTGCTCTTTTGCAGGTTTATGTAAATGTAGCACCTCAAAGCAAAATAACCATCAATAACAGTTAAATTTAAGTTTCCAGCTAAATTACTTCCAGTCTGCTGACGCCAGTGAGGAAGGTTTACGGAGTCCCTGTGATAACACCACACACCTCCACATCAGAAGAGTAAAATTTGTACAGAGTTGGGAAAAAACAGAAAAGAAGGAATATGGGTGAATAAAAGGAATGCCTGCATGGCTGAGAAGCAGAGGGAAGAGAGGGGTGAGAAGATAGAAAGGTGAATTGTCAAGAAAAATCAGAGTTAGTAAGAAAGGAGTAAAAAATCATTGACAATGGCACATAAAACGAAACTTATCTGCGAAGAGCTGGATGAGTGGGCGGAGTCCTGATTCAGACATCCAAACAGAATTAATCTGGACATCCAAACAGAAAATTCAGAGAAGGCTAATATAATTTGCATGGCTTGCAGTTCTAAGATTAATTTTTCAACCTGAGAATTAGCAGTTCATATTTTTTGTGCAATTGACAGAATACTTTGTAAAAAACTAAAGATTATTTTGGTTCTTGAAAACATCAAGAATAGGGTAAATTTTTACTTCTTGAGAGTTTCACTGTATGAAGATTTTTTGGTGGTAAAGCTTTAACGGTGGAATGTCCTTTACAAACGTAGCAAAACTGACCCAAGTAGCAGATTTGGTAGGTGCTGGATTTCTAAGCTCCTGTTTCTTTTTCATGTCATTATGTCTTTTCTAAAATTTAGGGCATCCTAAGTATGAACTAACATGGTTTTGCCCTCAGGAAATACACTTGGGTTCTTGACCTTCTTTCAGTTTACAAGTAGGCAGGGTTTTTAGGTAATTTCCATTCGTTATTGAGAGGTTATTATAGAGGTTTAGGAAAACTTTTTTACATGTTCTGCTGTAATGCCTGAGAAATCAATTTCCTTATGCAGTTTCTGCATTTTCCTTTCAACTTCTTCATTCAAGTCTGCTTCAGAGAAACTTGATCGATAAGATTGGTGGTCAGCTTCCACTGCTTCAGAGTTAGGCATAATCCAAGGGATGGAAGTCTTTCCGAATGTGTTACTAGCCATCAATTCAGAATGCTCAACAACAGAGCTCAAGACTTACTTCCAGTCTCTGATAAGTGAATTTTAAGTATGTTATATTTAATTAGCTACTATACTATACTTATACATCATTACTATTATAAAGCTCATCATTCATACAACTGAAAATTAAATTTTCCTTGTAGTATTTTAGTGATCCTGATTTTCATTTAGTTATGCAACACAAGAACTGAATCCTTAATTAATTGAAGATGCAAACAAAGAGGGAATGCATATTGGATGCTCAAATTAAAAATGGATCATGTTTTTCATAGTATATTATTTTATGCATATTTTGTTTACACAGTTTTCCTGATTACTGCATTGTTCCATTATATAAAAGAGACTAGTAAACTGTTTAAAAGGGAGCACAAATTCTCTGAAAGCAGAGAGGTATTTGATGAGTCTTTTAATAGCAGGCAATGAACGCTGCCCCATTGTTTCACATCTTTGATTATTGTTCTGGAAGAATTTCGTTCATGGTTAAGTTTCCATTTCAGAGGAGGTATTTTTAACAGATTAGGTATGGTTTCACTTAAGTGAATATATTTGTGATCATAATTACTAAATCATAGTGTTCCAAAAACCTGTGTTACCACCTGTACTTACTGCAGGAAAATTAACGTCATTCCTATTTAAAAGAGGTGCCAATCATGAAATAATGCTTGTGCATGGCTTAATCACGCTTGTGCATGGCTATTTTGATAATATTAAATGGTGAGAAAAAATGCCTATGAAATTTAACAAATTTAATATAAAATATTAAGAACATATTAAATAGATATGTCTACAGTAAAAAATGGAAATTAGGAAAATGCAAAAGTTTGTCTATGAACTGTTCGTAACATTTATGGAAATTATTTGGCTGATGTTGTACTCATAACCTTAATATTCAGAAGGCATCCCTCAATTTGGAGAGAACACACCAATGTAAAATTTTAAATTAAACAAAAAAGCAACCAACCTTAATTTGCTATATATGTTTTCGGGGAATTTTTTTCCCCCCGAAAAAGATTTGTGTCTGATTACCCTAATAATTGACAGGCATATTCAAAATATTCTATGGTTGCCTTTTTGCCCAATTTTTAAAAAATGCTTACCTGAAATTGAAGTCAAGCTGTTTGGCGACATTTGTCTGTAATTTGCAAATTTTATATTCTATTTTGACCTTATTTGGCAACTTTGCTCTGGTTTAAAAAATTTATACGATAATAGTTCCATCATATTAATCAAATTGTTGATCACAATAAATGATGTATTTTCCATGTATTCATATACAAATGGGCAAGACTTTGGCTAATTGACAACAATATCCAAATGGTAACTTAACTGCAATTACATTAAAAGGATCTATAATACAGGAACATCATCCAAAACGACATACAGCAAATTTTACCATGAAAGTGTTGGCAGAGGCTTTTGATGAAAGAATCATGTCTAAAGACTGAAACTACCAAGATCATTACCACTCTACTTTTTGTAAGAATAGACAAAATAAATTGTATTCATAAGCAATATGTATTATTCGAAAAAGACAAAAATAAACATTATTGCTGTCATCTTGAGGGTAAAGAGAAAAGCTTCATAATGTCACTAGGCACGTGAAACATATGAACAAAAAAACTGAACGAGATGAATGCCATTTCTAACATATGGCTGAAAGCAAGATCTGTTTCATATATGTACAATTTTTTTTTAATATTTTTTAATAAATTCACAAAGGGTTCTCTTTTAAACTGAACACTGTCATCATTTGATTACTTCATCTAAAAAGCATTTGATTATAGACAACTATGTACAGGTTGAGGGTAGGCTAGCACCTGTGCATTCCCATAGATGTATGAAGTATTGCTGAACCTGGCTGTCAAGCTTAAACCCCAATTTTGAGGGGGGAAAACCATGGGAGAGTACGCAAGGGTCTCCCATCCATCTGCCCCTACCACAAACTTCTTGACAGGACCGGCTCATCGCGTATTTTGAGTGCCTCGACACATAGCTATTATACACTTACAAACATCCATGTTTTCGGTATTCGAACTTGGGCCCATCATTACACCAGGCAGCGTCATTAACCACTATACTGGCTGAATGGCATAGTGATAACAATATAAAGGTTTCATAGATATATACAATAGACATCAATATTAGAGCATTTTTACTTTTGTGTTATAGAATTACTGTAGAAAAAAAAGGCCATCTTCATGAAAAAAAATCACTAAAGTTGTAAACTTTTATCATTTGATACAATACCAGAAACATTAGTATACTGCTTGATTAGTGCTTCTTCTTCATCATTTGCAGTACTCATAGTCCAATGAAAATTTACATAAGGCTGAGAAACTTCCTCCATATTGCTTGACAAAAGCAACAATTCTTCCCAAAAGACACCTTGTTGAACTTGTTGGTCAGCAAGTATTATTTTAATAGGCACGGCATGGGTAATCTGTATTTAAAAGATTAAATAACATTTTGAAATACATATTTAGTTCATAAAATATCAATTATAATTAAAATGTAATTTCCTTCTAAAATTCTATACCACAAAAGAATACAGTAGATTTCAGTTAAAATTTCACCAAATAATGATTATTGAAGGAGTTAAAGCAATTGCTGCTTTAACTCCTCCAACAATAATGAAATGAGTGCCCTGAAATAAAGACAAATAAATTCTAAAGAGAAATAGTTGCTAATTTCAGTGATATGATAATGAATAAGTCTATGATGATAAATAAAACTGAGAATAAATGATAATTATCATTTGCCTCACTAACATTTTCTTGGCAACAATTTATTTAGCACAAAGAATTCGTTTTGGTAGCAAAACGTAGTCAAAAATTTCAGAGCAGATTTTTTGTCACTGAAAATTATTGTGAAGAAAATGTCAGCCATGTTAATTATTAAATATTAAGCAACAAATAAATTTATGACTGATTATGCTAAAATTTAAAATAATATTCATTTTTTATGTTGAAATAACTTACAGTTTCAGAAAGCAAATGATGACATTCTTCATGTGGAACAGGATATCTGTATACTTCTGTTGTTTTCCACCATACAGGTACTCCAATCAGAATGAAAGTTAAAGCAAATACACTGGTGGCAACAACAGAACTGGTACCTAAATTGCAAATAGCACATATCATCTTGATATACTCTACTATATAGGTTTATTAGGAATAATATTATATCAAGACATTAAATATGCACATACACACAGAAAAAACCTGTTATGAAACAAAAAAATAACTCAGCTCTAGTGTAAAATTAGATACCCCTTCAATTGGCCACAGATTTTGTTCTATTTTGGTGATGAAACCCCATTTCTGGTTACCAATATAGTGTTAACTTTGTTTAAGCTTCCTGATTTTTTTAAGCGAAAACAGATCGATGTATACACGGACAAAGTTAAAGCAGTGTGCAATGTGTAGTTTGTGCAATTCTCTGATTTTTTTTTTTTTAAGTGAAAATAGATCAATGGGTACATGGACACCAAGTTTGTGCAATTCTTTGACTTCTTATTTTGGTTTTGTGTCTTAAAATTGTGCCTTCCTGGTGCCAATCTTGGCATCAAAAAGGAGTCGCTAAAAAACAAAAGGCACCCAACTGTAAACTTACCAATAACTCTACCCATACATTTAAAAAAAAAAGTTTAATTCTAATTTTTGACAGTATACAAAGATGCTGAAAAATTACAGATGGAAACAGCTCTGCAATCCAATACAGTTAAATATATTAAATTTAAATTTAATGAACCCCATGTCCAGCCTCTAGATTTAGCCTTATAACTCTCTCTTCTTTTCAACCTAAATGGTAATCTTCTACAAAAAATACCAGTCTATATTGTAAAGGGATAAAATGAATAATTAAAATTAACAGGATTTAATGTTGTAACTAGTTATGTGCCCAATACACCCTAGATGTAAAGAGATAATAAACAAATATGATATAATAATTGTTTATAAATAATTTTTATTCATACAAGAATTATATGGCAGTATTCACAGAAAGTTATCAATTGATAAATTTTTTGTTACATAACTTGGTTAATCTTTGGATTATGGTAATTTGGGGATTTTTTGGCGAAAATTTGGCGACCAACCCTGCTACAGCAACCTGCTAGTTTATGTTTGGACGCCATTTTATTTTCACGAAGTAAAGGCATGTTTTTTTTTTCTTTTACTCAACATTTTTTTCCAACAATCTGCTAGCCGAATTACGCTTATGCTAGAACTTTTATGGGTTGATCTTTACAATATGGTAACTGGTAGTTTGGCGACATTTTGGAGGCGATAAAGGTTACTACCTGGCACTTTGGTAATAATGTGAGCAATACTCAGTTCCGACTACGCATTATTTTGTGTGAGGGAAATGAGAGATCATGGGATATGTCATGTGATATTAATGGACGAATTACGGTTCTTCATCGGAAAAAAGGGGGAAAATCGGGAAAAAATCTGGAAATTTGTATTTGGCTTTATTCTGTGTTGTGTAAAACAGGTTCGTGAATTTTGGATCCCATGGCCGTACTAAAGTGAATTCGAAATGGCTATTATGTATGTATTAATAATGTATGTGCTCATTTATATTTAAGTAGTGTTTTTGAATTTAATTATATTTTAATTAAATGATAGTTATTTTTGAATTTTATGTTGTAGGAATTTGGTATACGTTTAGTTGAAGTAAACGGCATGGAAATAATTTAATATCTGACACTAAGTATTTGTAATGGTTGCGGTATGAATCGTTGTGACGGTATAATGTAATAGATGATTTAGAGGTAAAGTTTTTTTATTTTATTTTTTATATGTGGAATGTTCATTCCTTTTCGCTCCAGGTAATTCTCTGTTCTTTTTACGGGTTTAAAGATGAGAAAATGTCATGTATTTTCGTGAAATTTTTCTAATTATGAGAAAAAAGCGTGGTACATGGCTATAGTGAAGAGTGTGCGCAATGCCATTTTTGTGCAATTCTGGGTTTTTTTAAGTAAAATAAGTGACGTGTACATGGTTTACTGATTTTAATTAAATGATAGTTTTTTTTGAATTTTATTTGTAGGAATTTGGTACACATTTAGTTGAAGTAAAGTGCATGGAAATAATTTATTTGATACTAAGTATTGTAATGCTTGCGGATGATTCGTGGTGACGTGTATAATGTAATAGATGCTTTAGAGGTAAAAGTTTTTGGATATTTTATTTATTTTTATGTGGAAATGTTCATATTTGGAAAGGGTAAATACTTTTCGCGATCAGGTAATTTCATATGTTCTTTTTACGGGTTAAAGATTGAGAAAATGTCATGTATTTTCGTGAAATTTTTCTAATTTACGGCGAAAAAGCAGGTACATGATATAGTGAAGAGGTGCACAATGCCATTTTGGCAATTCTGGGATTTTTTTTAAGTAAAAAAGCCCGTGTACCTGGTTTATCTGTATGTGTTATTTTGAAAAGCATAAGGTATGGTATTGTGCACTTTTTCCCAATTTTGCGTGATATGTCTCTTAAGCGTTTTGTTAGATAAAATTTCGCAAAGTGTAATTCGGCAGTAATTGTTGGAAGAAGTGTTTCAGTAGATAAGAAGAAAAGAAACATGTCTTTACTTGTGAAGACAAAATGGCGGGGGGAAAAAAATAGAGGGTTTGCTGTAGGAGAGTTGGTCGCCAAATTTTCGCCAAAAAAACGCCAAGTTACCATAATGTAAAGATCAACCCTTTTATGAACAAAGGCTTAATCTGACTTAGATTAGGTGCGAAATTGGAGAAAGTGCAGAATTGTAAATGCTTGCTGCGGTTTTAAGAATTGACTAACGTATCATCCACGTACCGTGACTATTTTCACTTAAAAAAACATCAAATTGCACAAAAATGGCATTGCGCACACTTTGATTACCATGTACATGCTAAATCCTAGCTAGAATTTATCGCCTTACCAAAATGTCGCCAAACTACCTGTTACCATATTCCAAAGATTAGCCCATAACATTTTTCATTGCACCTTTCCAGTTTTTACACCAATAAATTCACTAAATAAATCATAATTAATGTCTCAAGTTTAATTACTTTTAGCAGAAATTATAGAAATATAATACTATTTTGATTTGGTAATCAATTGTAAATAGTTATTAATGAATTTCCATTTGTTAAATCTTAAAAAGAAACACTAGATTACAATAAAAATAATACATTACACTAGAAATACAACAGAAATAATATATTTACGTACAACTTAGCTAATCCCAAACCAGGAAAAGCTGACAAAATATTAAATGTAATCACAGTTTAAATATATCATATAATTGTAAAGTCTTGAAATTTTGACTAAAGTATTCAAACGCACTTCAATGATATCTGGCAGCTGAAGGAGAGAACTGACAGATATCAATGAAATGTATACAGTAATGAAGTTTAAGTGAAAACTGTAATGAAATGAATACAGTACTGAAATTTAAAAATTGAAAATACTATATTTTACAATTCCTGTCTGAACAATGTCCCATTTCTCTTCCACAATGTAGATTCAAAATATTTTTCATGAATTCTTTTCTTGCGTCAGGAATTCATTGGAAGACCGACAGTTTACCTTTATTTTTCTAATAGGATTATATATTTTCCAAGGTTCTATACGTATATACATTTAGGGTATTTTCTATTTCTATTATTATTTAGGATATTTTCTATTTCTATTATTATTTAGGGTATTTTCTATTTCTACGGCATTTCCACTTATTTGGCTCATGATTAATGGCATTTGTAGATTCAGAATAAGGCCATCACTTAAAGCTGCCCCTTTATTCATAACAGATGAAGAGAATATTTCTTCAAGAAACAAAAATGAACTTACTAATTTGTTTCGGTGCACTTTCATCCGGTGCATTTTCACATTTCATTTTTTAAATTATATTTATTTGCTTAAATTCTAGGTAGTTTTATTTTGCATGATTCATGAAAGTGTCATTTTCAAATGAATGAATCAACTTATTACTTCAAATTTACTTAACACATAAAGTCAATTATGCATAAAATTAAATAATGTCAGAAACATAAATAAAAAAACTCCCAAATAATTTATATATCAGCGAAATTTTGCGTGCTATTCACTATTAAAACATTAAAAATACTAATTATTTATTATCGGACGATCGCTAGTGGACAGATAGATGTCTTGTTTTGCACCCGCTAAGTCTTTTTGCGCTGATGGGCGAAAAATCAACACACACACAGATCGTCGAGTGTCAAGATGTAAGAAGTGTGGGAGGCGGAAAAAGAGAGTGAGGTCAACACCGACTCTAGAACGAAGTAGAGTCGGTGTTGGTGAGGGTCTGGTCCGCACTAGCGGCGGCGAAAAAAAGGGGGGAGGTGGCAAGTTCAGTGTCGTTATAAGATGTAGCCGTCTGTGGTTAAACCGCACATGGGTACCGATGTTTTTCACTGGGATGCGGGGAGTGTCTCAGAGTGATAATAAGGCTATTATGTGGGTTGTACTGAATAAAGAAGTGACCCTCATGTTTCTACTCTTGAATAAGTTCGATTCGAAGGTCTCTGTCAATATAGATGTTTGGAATAACAAGGAGAATTGATAATTCTCGTAGTTTATTTTGTAGATTGTAATTGTTTAATATTGAGGTCCCAGATCGGTGCTGCATAAAGGAGGGTAGCGCAAGTATTGGCTGGGAGAGTATGGAGCGATATAAATTATATGTTTAGTAGATAGTTGCTTTTTAGACCAGAAGAGATCGCATAGTAGCTGTGTTGATTTTAAATTTTGTACTAGGACGGAAGTGGTTCTGAAGGTAGTTTTGGTCAAGGGTGACTCCAGGTATTTGTTCTGAATCCAGTCTTTTCGTCCAAATTTCAGGGGGGGAGATAGTATTCATGTTCGTTACGGAAAATATGCCTAGTTTTACAGAGTATTTTAATCTCAAAGGGTGAGCCATTTTCCAGTTTTATGAGAAGTTTTGGATTTGGGACCTAGTCTGGACACCGTCGAGATAGAAAGAACGGGTCGTTTTTGCGATTCTCGACAGAGAGCAAGTCTGGGTATACGTCTCGATCATAAGAATGGAGTGTGGAAATTTTCCGTCAGCGGGAAGCTCGTTTAAGTTCTGACTGTCGTTTAGAGCTAAACTGAGGCGCGGAGGCACGGAGTTGTTTTGAAAGGTACGTATAGATATTTTAATTTCTAAGATTTATGAAAAAGAGTATTTCGCTATAGAATAACGCATTATGCTGACGATTCTAATTATTTATTTTTAATTACCAATGCTTTAATTCAATTTAGTGAAAATAAATAATTTGGTGTTTCCTATTTCCATATAAAGAAGGGGTGCATACTTTTAATTTAGCATTGTAATTTTTAAACTAATGTATATATCAATGTACTTAATTTCATCTTTTGATGAGTAATTTGTAAATTTTGAAATTTTATGTGTTAAATTATAATGTATTTCCCTCTACTTTTATTTTAATTTGTAGTGTATAAAAATG